CTACTAAATAGCCCATCATATACAGGATAAGCCATCTCCTCTCAAAGAATTACCCAGACCAGATGTCAGTAATGCTGAGATTGAGAAAACATACTCCATGTTATCCATTGAATTCCTCAGACCACCTCCTGATGATGCCGCTCTTAGTATATGCCTTGGAATGTGACAGCATGCTATGAGAGAAGAAAAATATTCTACTGTTGACATTTTGTACTGCCTAAGAAATACAGTGGTGCCATTTTATTCCAGTTGTGCTGTTTCTGGAGTCTTTAGTTTGCACTGTGTTACTTCACTCTCTGTTGCCTCATTGGAAATAGCACTCAACAGTTACTTGCTGGCATTTTTGTTCTATGGCAAGCAATTCACTTGCTTGAAGATGAACTCTATCATGGGTAGAAGATTTATAGCAAAAAGCATTTCCATGATGTTAGTAAATCTGTTGTGATGTTTTTATAGCCAGAAGGGTTACCTAATGTCCAATCTAAGTGTCTTTTTCAACAAATTAGCCCATTTCCTTTTGCTCTGATCTAAGTACAATCTGGACTCTGTAGGAGAAAAAAAGCAGTGGATATTTAGAATTAATTGCTTTAGAATATTACATCACTTGTGCATCCATTCTTTGAGAGTCTGAAGGGCCACTGCCATCTAGTGTGTCACTGGCCACGGTTTATCATCTTGGCCTTCTTTTTAAAGCTAGATCAAATGTTGTGTGACTAACGGAGTTTTTAACAATGCAGTGCCTTGGTACCTGCAGACTAACCGCCACATGGGTCAGGCTTGAGTTGTTACACACTCTCTGGCCTAGACTTTTCTTGATGCGAATATTGCTTGGATGAATGGGTTTTAAGGCCACAAAGAAACTTACTCTTCTGCATCACTGGGTTTACAAGGATTTTTGCACACCATAAGGTTGGGCTGCACGAAGTTCATGTTAGTCATTCAGCTCTAAATGTGGCATTCCTTTTCTAAGGAAAAGATAAACAGAATTGTCTAAGCAACAAGCTGCTGTTGCATTTGTTAGCAGCAAGCTTTGTGATCAGACAATGGCATTGTATTGCCCTTTAACAAACAGAATGCATTCACGTGAGCAGGCCACATTCAAGCAGAACACGAGAATATTCTTCTCAGCCTTGCAGCTGGGTTTTAGGGGAAGGTTTATTCTCTGTCTTTCTTCTTTTTCTTTGGAATTTTCTTCTATTTTTTTTTTTTTTTTGTCCTTTTTAGAAAGGCTTTTAAGCTTTCTTGAGGGACAAAGAATATAGTGGTTGATAAATGTGTTTTGGTTTCCTCTTATAGCTGTCTGTCTCTCCTTATTAGCATATTTCAACACAAAATTTAAATTAAGGTCTAAGTTTGATTCATAAAAGATAACTTTTGTCCCTGATTTTTAGGGTTATTTAAATGTTATGCACAAAATTTAGGGTTTAAGGATGTATGTTTAAAAATTAAAAATTTTTCTTAAAAATGAGCTCTTCTTTAGGTACACCTACAAAGCACCTTAGTTTGCAGTAGACTAAATTTAGGGCCAAATCCATTTACCTTTATGCATCTACAAAGGTGAAAAAAAAAGTGAAATATTGTTTTTTCTTGTTAAGATAAGTGCTGAATTAGTGAGTTCTTTGATCAGGGTCTCTCTAATAGCCATGAATAGGACAGGTTCAAAGTCAAATGCAAACATTTCCTTAGCACACATATGGAAAAACATCCTATAATATCTGACAGAGTCTCTGGAACAAGGTCCTCTACTGACCTGATGTCTACCTCTGATGTTTTGTGTTAAGTACTAAAAAAGCTACCCTTGACAGTGCATGGTGTTGTGTCTAGGTTTTTAAAATTAATTTAAAATTAATTTTCTCATCTTATCTAGATTCTTTTATGCATTTGCACATATTGACTAAGTGGGACTCGAGAGGGTAAATGGTCACCCTAGGGACTGGGAGGTTTCCAGCTGGGATGTGTGGAAGCATGGCTTAGCACCAAGAAACAAAACATAGACCCTCTTCTTGTTATTGGCAGTTCTGAATCTAAGCCTGGTCTATAAGGATTTACCTCCAGAGAATGTGATATGAGCTGCCTAAATACATGAGTACCATACCTAAGAAGGAATATTTATATTGAGTGTTCAACCTAGACCCTGAACATTGTCTTAACAATCTTACCAAGTATCTGAAGTGAATTTGCTCTTCTGCATCCCACAGATTTCGTATTTCCACAGCTTTTCTCAGGCCTCTGATATACACCCTTTTACCCACTTCATTCTGTGCAGATAACCTCACTTACTTGGGAAAAACAGAATCAATAAGAAGGAAATACCCCAGCCTCCTGCCATGTTTCCAAACTTCCTTTGTCTACATCTGTCTGTTCTGCCTTCCGTGTTACTACAGTGAACAGCACGGGCTTTTTCCAGACCTAATCTCTTCATCTTGTATTCTGGATTCCATTTGCTATCTACCATCTCTCTTAATTTTTAACTGGTTTATTTTCATCAGCATCAAAGCCAACTCAATTCTGTCTTTAAAAAATAAATGCCTCTACTTCCCCTAGCCTGCTTTTAAGTTGTATATGCTGACAGGCGCCGCGGCTCAATAGGCTAATCCTCCACCTAGCAGCACCGGCATACTGGGTTCTAGTCCTGGTCGGGGCGCCGGATTCTGTCCCGGTTGCCCCTCTTCCAGGCCAGCTCTCTGCTGTGGCCCGGGAGTGCAGTGGAGGATGGCCCAAGTGCTTGGGCCCTGCACCCCATGGGAGACCAGGATAAATTCCTGGCTCCTGCCTTGGGATCAGCGCGGTGCGCTGGCTGGAGCACGCCAGCCGCAGCGGCCATTGGAGGGTGAACCAACGGCAAAAGGAAGACCTTTCTCTCTGTCTCTCTCACTATCCACTCTGCCTGTCCAAAAAAAAAAAAAAAAAAAAATTGTATATGCAAAGCCAACCCACTCTTCACAAGATATTTTTCAATGCTTTGTCATCTTTTAAAATTAAGTATACATATTGTTATTGACCTCTCAGTAACATTTGACAAAGTTCATTAACCTAGTCAGCAAATATTTAGAGTTCTTTTGTGTTGCCAGTACTATTGTAGGTGCTGGAGGTACAGCATTGTGTAAATAAATAACATGCCTGCCTCTTCCTTCCCCTGCCCCTTATTTAATGTAGGGTATATTTAGATTATGTCCTGGAATCTTTTTGTTTATTTCTGAGTTGTCTTACCCAGTCACATGATGCTAGTTACCATCCCAGAGCTGAACATTTCTGAACTCCAGACATTATGTCTCCACTCAGCTAAAAACCCTCAGATTCATTTTTGCCTGTTCTGGTATCTTCTGCTATGTAAAACATCCTAAAACACAGTATCTCGGCAGTCACTTATTTGGATTATATATCTGCAGTTTGGGAGAAATGATTCTGCTTCATAGAGTATCAATTCAAGTGGCTGGACTGGGGCAGAATGATACACTTTCCAAATGACAAACTCACCTTGAGCCAAGATCTCAGCCAGGGCTGTAGATTGGGGAGCCTCATTTCCTTCCCATACAAATCTTTCCCTTGACTGATTGTTTAGGCTTTGCCAAAGGGTGGAAGTGATAGGGCAAGTGGCTCAAAGCTCCAAGACCATGGACTTTAGGACCTTACCGATCTAGCCTTGGAAGTCATAGCATCACTTCTTAATCATAAGCCCACCCAGATTCAAGAAAAGGAAGCACATATCCTAATTTTCAGAGCAAAAATTGTCAGAGTGACACTGTAAAAAGAGTGTGTGAGGTGGAAGGTATTGCAGACCGCTTTGGAAGATATATCTGTGACATTTTCCAAAGGTGAAGGTCTTCCATGAACTTGTTTTTATCCAGTATTCTCTGATTCTGTATTTGGCCTTATTACTTCCATGGCTGAAACTTGGGAGCCATGTGCCATCTCTCCCTCTCACTCTCTCTCTTTTTTTTCTTTTTCTTCCTGGGTAGCCTGTCCTTCACCCTGTCCAGTCATTGAGCCTGTCGTTCTCAGATCTTCCTGTTCTCCCTATTGCCATCACCCTTGGTTAGTCCCCATTCTCCCTCCTCAGTTTTATTGTGATCATTTCCCAAGTGGTTTTCCTACTAGCAGTCTTTTGCTTTCCAGTCTATTTTTTTTATCCTTCTTCCTATGTAATCTTTTCAAATATCTATATAATTATAGTTTATACATTTGTCGTACTCCTGCTTACATCCCTTTATTAAAAGCATCTCAGTACTCTTGGGCTAAAGACTAGAATTCTTTCTCTGGCTTAAAGCTCTGCATCTTCTGGATCCTGCCTGCTTCGGATTCATATTGGATCTTCTGCCTCCTTCTGCATCTGCTAAACGGCTCTGTTTCCTTTCCTGTCTCAGCATTCGCACTTTCACACCTGCTATTCTTGCTGTTTGCTGTACTGTACTCATTATTCACTTTTGTTTGAGTGTATTTTCCTCAAGGAATTCTGCTTTGAATCTCCTGTTAAATAGTTCAGTGGTGCTTGCTCATTTTGTTTTGTAGCCCATTTTACACTTCAAATTGTCCTTACTCTTTGGATTTCTTACTTGCTAGACCAAGAAGTTCTGTGAGAACAGATAATTGGTTCTGAATCTCAAAAGCCTAGCAGTTCCTCATGCATAGTGAGCACTCAATGCATCTTGTAAATAAGTATGCATACACACACACACACACACACACAGAATGATATACTTCTGTTAGTACACATCCACAGCCACATTAATTTGTGAGTGTGTGTGTACAGAGATTTATGGAAATGTGTTTTACACTTGTGTAAGTTTTGCTGATGATATTCAGAAATAATATTTAGAAATTGCTGATATTTGTATTTAGGAGTACATATGTATTTAGCATGAATTCTGTTTGTTATTTTGTTTATAATCCACTGTTGTTCAACATGTAGTACATCAGACACTGATCTGGTTCAGAGTTGTCGAATTCCCTCTTTTGTACCTTGTCTTCTGACTGGGCACTGTTCATCACTCCTATTCAAGGTAAAGAGACTGCTGCAATGAAAGCTGATCTCCTGAGGGCCAGGAATATGAAAAGGTATATTAACCAGCTGACTGTGGCAAAGAAGCAATGCGAGAAGAGAATCAGAATCCTGGGAGGTCCTGCCTATGACCAGCAAGAGGATGGGACATTGGATGAGGGTGAAGGGCCTCCAAACCAGAAGGTAGAACTTGGTACTTCTTCTTTTTTTAAAAAAGGATTTATTTTTTATTCATTTGAAAGATAGAGTTAGAAAGAGGGAGGGAGAAAGAGAGAGATATCTTCCATCTGCTGGTCCACTTCCCAAATGGCCGCAATGGCCAGGGCCAGACCAGGCCAAAGCCAGGAGCCAAGAGCCCCATCCATGTCTCCTATGTGGGTACAGGGGCTCAAGTACTTGGGCCACCCTCCGCTGCTCTCCCAGGATCATCAGCAGGGAGCTAGGTCAGAAGTGAAGCAGCAGGGTCTCGAACCAGTGCCTATATGGGATGCCAGTGTCGCAGATGGAGGCCTAACCTGCTATGCCACACCACCAGCCCCAACTTTGTATTTCTTGTTTCAGCCTTATCAAGTTTATTATAAATACTGACAGAACCACATACAGTTTTTTAACTTTTTTAATATTTGACTTAAGGCATATGTTTTATAACTATGAACTTGCATGTTGGAGCTTTTCTGCTTAAGGGTTAAGTGTGTATGTGTATGTGCAAAAATATATTTGTTTGTAAATATATATATGTGTTTGTATACACATATATATATATATTTTTTTTTTGCTTGGTGTCCTTGACTTCTGTGAATGGCAGTAGGTATGATAGGTAGGCATGGGGAATGTGTGTGTGTGTGTGTGTGTGTGTGTGTGTATGTATGTGTTATTCCATCCCCCTTTTGTAAGGGCCTAATGAAGTCATCCATTCTTAATTGGATAGAAATCACCACCTCTGAAGTGGAAGGCATCTTATAAATTATTCTATTACTTGCTATCCTCACTTTTCAGGTGATAAAATAGTAGATTTAAATAACCTGTCCATGGCCACATAGATAGGAAGAGGCAGAGCTATACAAAAACCTCTATCTGGTCAATTTTACAAATCTGAATGTTTTTTCATTAAATCATATATATATATATGTAATACACACACATATAATATACACACACAGATATATGACTGTTTTTGCACAACAAAACTTTGAACTGTCTGTTGATACCAGATTCTTAAATGATAGAGTATAAGTAATTGCTCCACTACTCCTGTAGTACCTGTGCTAACGTTAAGTCCTGGCTTGTCTTCCAAGACCTGGAGCAAACTAGTGTTGAAGGAAACTGTCATCATGCACTCCCTTGGGAGCATGCCTGGACCAACTAGGAATAAGACTTCAAGACACAAGCCAGACTTCTCTCTTGTAAGATGCCATTTAACCACAAAGAAGCCAACATCAGTGTTACTTAGTCCTGGCCATAACCTCTAACCTCATCCATTCTGATTTCTGGTATCTTAATCATTTCCTGTTCAGTTCTCAGTTTGAGCTCAGATGCTTACCTGTGACTTTCCCTTGCCTCCCCTTTCCAGAGATGGGTGTGTGTCTTTTCACTTGTTTCTGACCTGGTTGTCATCAGAGCCTCTTCAGGAAGGTTTTAGTCCTATCTTTGGGCCAACTCTGGAACAAGCCATAGTTGTGTAGCATCTTACCCAAATAGCACAGATACAGCCCCACGGAACTCTTGTTTTATACAGGAATCTCCTAACCACTGGAGAGCTGTTTGTTTCACTATAAGCATATGTACCTTTCTGGAATTTTTGGCTTTGTGGAACAAAATGAAAGCTTCTACCTTTTGGTGACTCTCAGAGAAAGAATAGATTTGGCAAGTTGAATATTGCTCCTCTTCTTCTCCCTCAGCTTTTAGCCTCTAAAATAAATTTCTTTAAAAAAGTTTATGTCTTTATTTTCAATTTTTCACTTGAAAGGTGCAGATACTGAAACAGAGAGATAAAGTGATCTTTAATCTATTGGTTCACTGCACAAGTGTTTACAGCAGCCAGGGCTGGGCCAAACCAAATCCAGGAACCTAGAACCCCATCTGGGTCTCCCATGTGAGTGACAAGGACCCAACTACTGCCTCCCAGGATGGGCGATAGTAGGAAGTTGAATGGGAAGTGGAGCCAGGACTGAAACCACACTGTGATATGAGATGTCTGTGTCACAAGTGGCATCTTTTTATTGCTGAGCCAAGCACCCACCCCTCCTAAATAAATTTCAAGCCACATTTATCATAGATGAAGTCTTTGTCTTAAGTCCTGTTCATTTGTTCATTCCTCCATTCATTGAACAAACATTTATTGAGGGCCTGCACAGAATTTTGCAGTATCACACTATAGTGCTAGATAATAGAATATAAGATGAATAAGATAGAATCCTCACTTTCAAAGAGCCCCATATAATTATAAAATAAAAATGTGTGGGGCCAGCGCTGTGGGTTAGTAGGTGAAGCCTCTGCCTGCAGCTCTGGCGTCCCTTATGGGCACCGGTTCCAGTCCCAGCTGCTCCACTTCTGATCCAGCTCCCTGCTAATGCACCTGGGAAAGCAGTGGAAGATGGCCCAAGTCCTTGAGCCCTTGCACCCACGTGGAGACCCAGAGGAAGCTCCTGCCTCCTGGCTTTGGATCATCCCAGCTCAGCCATTGCAGCCATTTGGGGAGTAAAGCAGCAGATGGAAGACTTCTCTCTCTCTTGGCCTCTGCCTCTGTCTCTACCTCTCCTCTGAGACTCTGATTTTCAAATAAATAATTTTTTTATTTTTATTTTTTTTTATTTTTGACAGGCAGAGTGGACAGTGAGAGAGAGAGACAGAAAAGGAAGAAAAAGAAGTGCTCTAGTAGAGATGAGATATATACCTAGTAAAGGTATTTAACGTTTTGCTGCATAGTCAAGGAAAGATGATACACTTCTAGATGTTATGGTACAAGAAAACCTCAAGAAAGGTCAAGGAAGCATATTTTAGGAGAATTGGGTACATTTATCTGGCAGTGTCTACTAGAAGTGCCAGCTGCCTTTTTTTGGTTGGTTTTTCCTAGACATTAAGGAAAGAAACCCATTCCTATTCCAGTAAGTTATCTTCAGAGTAAAACCATTTCTGCTAGTTTTCCAAGGTAGAAGGCTCAGATAATCTTACAAATTTATGGGATTTCCTATTCTAAAGGTAAGACTTCGATTAATTTGGGGTAATTCTGATATCTTTGTAGGTAGTAGAATACTTTTGCTGTGGCCTCACATCTGAACCAGAAGAATTACCACCAAATTTATTTCAGAACTTAGATTTCCAAATTAGATAAAATCTCCAATTAGAACAGTGAGATTGTCAGAGTGAATTTTTTTTCAAATTATTCTTTTTTTTTTATTATTTGACAGGTAGAGCTACAGAGAGAGAGAGAGAGAGTGAGAGAGAGAGAAAGGTCTTCCTTCCACTGGTTCACTCCCCAAATGGCCACTATGGCCGGCGTGCTGTGCCGATCCGAAGCCAGGAGCCAGGTGCTTCTTTCTGGTCTCCCATGGGGTGCAGGGCCCAAGCACCTGGGCCATCTTCCACTGCCCTCCCAGGCCACAGCAGAGAGCCCAGCTGGAAGAGGAGCAACCGGGACTAGAACCTGTAGCCCATATGGGATGCTGGCGCCGCAGGCAGAGGATTAACCAAGTGAGCCACGGCTCCAGCCCCCAGAGTGAATTTTTAAAAAGTCAAAATTTAATTAAAGTTGCTTATAAGAAACTATACATAAAGGCACAAATAGATTAAACATTAAGAGGGGAAAAAGACATGCCATGCAAAACTAAGCATTAGAAATCTGCTATAGGTAATAATGATGTCAGAGTAGACTTCAGAACAAGGAATATAACCAGATATGAAGATCATTGCATTATGATAAAAGGGGTCAATTCATCAAAAAGACATAACCCTAAATTACATGCAGTCAATAAGAGAGCTTTAAAATAGATAAAGCAAAAATTTGTAAAAGTCAAAGGAGAAAAACATATATAACTAATTTACTGGCCACTCCCCAAATGGCTGCAATGACAAGGGCTGAGCCAGGCCAGAGCCTGGACCAGGAGCTTCACCTAGGTGTTGACCTGGGTGACAGGGACCCAAACATCTGGGCCATTTTCCATTGCCCTTCCTAGGCCACCAGCAGGGAGCTGGATTGGAAGTTGAGCAGCCAGTACATAAACCAATGCCCATATGGATGCCAGTGTCACAGGTGCTATAACGCCAGCCCCACAACATGTCTAAACATGCTTTTAGCAAAGAAGAAATCATAAAGGAACTTCTGAATGGATTGAAAATGAAAATATATAATATTTGTAGGATGCAGTTAAAAGGAAATATGTACTTTTTGTGCTTATATTAGAAAAGAAGAAAGATGTAAATTCAGCAATCTAAGCTTCCACCTTTAGAAGCTACAAGTTAAAACTACATTAATTAGAAAAAAAGGAGAGAAGATATAAATTGCCAGTTTTAGGAATGAGAGAGATGGGATATCACTCAAAGTGCTACCAGCATTAAAAGGATAACAAGAGAATATTATGAATGACTTTAAGCCAATAAATTTGACAATTTAAATGAAATATATAAATTCTTTGAGAAACAAATTGCCAAAACTGATTCAAAAGGATATAGAATATTGGAATAGCTCTAGATATATTTTAAAAAATTCAGGGACCATATGGCAAGTGGGTTAAGCCATGACTTGCATGCAAGTACTGCTTATTATTATTTTTTTGATTTTTAAATAAATCTTTTTTTAAAGATTGGAGCATCTTCCATGTCTCCCATGTGGGTGCAGGAACCCAAGGACTTGGGCCATCTTCCATTGCTTTCCCAGGCCATAGCAGAGAGCTGGATCAGAATTGGAGCAGCTGGGACTCCAAGTGCACCCTCATGGGATGACTGAACTTCAGGTGGTGGCTTTACCTGCTACGCCACAGTGCGGGCCCCGGTACTGCTTTTTGAAGTGATAGTTTGAGTTCTGGGTACCTTGCTTCTGATTCAGCTTCCTGCTAATGCATCTGGGAAGCCAACCAAAGATGCCCTAAGTATTCAGGCCCCTGGCACGTATGAAGGAGACTAGGCTAGAGCTCCTGGCTCCTGGCTTCAGTCTTGCCCACACCAGGTCATTGCAGCCATTTGGAGAG